CAGGTATTGGAAGGCCGCTATAAGATCTCCCCAGAGCCTTCTCTTTTCCAGGCTGAACAGCCCCAGCTCTTTCAGCCTGTCTTCATAGGAGAGGTGTTACAGCCTCTATGGGACTCAGCAGGATGCACCCACAAGTGCTGAAGGAGCCTTCAGAAATGATCGCTAAACCTCTCTCTACCATCTTTGAAAGGTATTGAAGAATGGGAGAGGTGCCTGAAAAGTGAAGGATAGCCACTGTCACCCCAGTCTTCAAAAAGGGCAAGGAGGATCCGGGCAACATCTTCATCCATGACCTGGATGTAGGGATAGATCAGCAAGTTTGCTGATGACACAAAGCTGTGAGGAGTGGCTGACACACCAGAAGGCTGTGCTGCCATCCAGCGAGACCTGGACATGCTGGAGAGCTGGGCAGAGAAAAACTTAATGAAATATAATAAGGGCAAGTGTAGGGTGTTGCATCTGGGCAGGAACAACCCCAGGTTCCAGTATAGGTTCTGCTGGAGAGGAGCTCTGTGGAGAAGGACTTGGGTGTGCTGGTGGACAGCAGGCTGGCCATGAGCCAGCAGTGTGTCCTTGTGGCCAGGAAGGCCAACAGTATCCTGAGGTGCATTAAAAAGAGTGTGGTCAGCAGGTCAAGGGAGGTTCTCCTCTCCCTCTACTCTGCCCTGGTGAGGCCACATACTGTGTCCAGTTCTGAGCTCCCCAGTTCAAGAAAGACAGGGATCTTCTAGAGAGAGTCCAGTGGAGGCGACAGAGACGATGAGGGGCCTCAAAGCATCTGCCATATGAGGAAAGGCTGAGAGAGCTTGGACTCTTCAAACAATTTCAAACCAAGCGTTCAAAGAGATAGGCAGATTACAGAGAAAGGATGAGTGAAAATATTTGTAGTGTTCAAAACAGAGTCAGGCCAGAAATTGTTTTATCTGCTTTCCAGTTTCAGATCATAATAATTATTCAGAATAGTTTTGAGATTCACATTTTCACATGAAAGTAATTTTTAGACAAATGTTTAACATTTGAATTATAGTCACGTAACTGACTAGAGGAAACAATGATTCCCAAGGATTAACTACCTTGACTTTTCACTTTTATAACATTAGGGTCCTGCAATAATCACAGAATCATAGAATGGTTTGGGTTGGAAGGGACCTTAAAGATCATCTAGTTCCAACCCCCCTGCCATCAGCAGGGACACCTTCCACTAGACTAGGTTGCTCAAAGCCTCATCCAGCCTGGCCTTGAACACTTCCAGGGAGGGGTCATCCACAACTTCCTTGGGCAACCTGTGTCAGTGTCTGACCACCCTCACAGTGAAGAATTTCTTCCTAATATCTAATCTAAACCTGCCCTCTGCCAGTTTAAAGCCATTTCCCCTTGTTCTATCACTACCTGCACTACCTGCCTGTGAGGACTGTGGGAACATTATCTTGGCATACCCTGAGAGGATTGTGGGAACTGAGGGGGTACGTGTCTGGAGAAGACAAGAATCGAGACCAGGGTGTCAGCAGCTGAGTCGACAAGATATGAGGAAGGAGCCTTGAAATGTGTCAAGAGATGTACTTTGGTAGGCAAACAGTAATGGAAGCACGCAAAGTCCATCAGCCAACCAATGTACAGAAAAGGGCGCGTGAACAGCTCATGCACAACTGACTTAGCCAATCATTGTAAACTGCTTCGCTTGAACAGGAACCTGAATGATATATGAGCCTGCATTGTTGGGTAATACACGTCTTCGCTTGTAACTCTTATAGAGATGTCTAAGTCCATATCTTCGCTGCCGATAAATGGTGACCCCAACATGATGCTGCTAAGAGAGAATCAAGACGCAAGGAACAAGAAGTCGGAGACAGCGAAGAGGCGTTGGCTGGGAGCTGTGTGGCAGGACCAGCACAGGAGGCGGAGTGAGCGCCTGGATGAAGCACGGCAGTGGGATCCCTCGTACGAGCTGAGCAGCCGGCGGGTAGCATGGGGCAGAATATAAGCCAGGAAGAAGGAGCGATAGTAAAAATCATGCTACATATACTCTCTAAGAGAGGGATTAAGTATGATGAGCACACTTTACGAAAATTATTAAAGTGGTGCTGAAGTGAGGGTTTTGCTCCAGGCCCTGTTTTAGCATTTCAACCGGAAACATGGACTGATGTTGGTAACAAGCTTTGGGAGGCGATTAGTAAAGGAGATAAAACTGCTGCCGAAATAGCTACGGCTTGGAGGCTTATCTCCCAAATGTTAAGAAAAATTAAGGGAGAAAGAAAAGTAGCAGAAGGAATGGACAGTGCATTGGCAAACACTAATACTCTGTCATCACCACTGCCAGTAATTACCTGCCGCAATCTGACTCTTTTTTCCAACATTCCTACTATATTCACTCACCTCCGCCTACGGTGCCTCCTAACCCTTTCACACCACCTCAAAATCAGATCCTGCCTCCTCCGGAGAACCCTGCATGGCCACCAGCACATAAAGCACCAGAGAGTGAACCCGAGACTACAATATCCCCTCAGGAACTGCCTGAAGATCAGTTAGTGCGACAACTGCGAGAACTGTTACAAAAACCGGTAGAAAAGAAGGACGAAAGCATTATTCAGGATTGCCCGGCCGACTGCAGTAAAGCGACCTTGGGTGTATTTGTGGAAAAGACCAGCCGCACAATGCTAACTCGGAAAAAACTTCACCCTTATATCCTCCCTTATCGGAGAGTGAGAGAGATGATGAGGCTGAAATGGAGGGAGGGGGGAAACAGGGATGGAGGGTGGAGGAATCGGGGAAACGGGAGGAATGGTGGGACAGATGGGGGGAAGTGTTTCGCACGGCATGGAAGGAGGGTGAGTTACTTGACATGGGTCCGCGTAAAGCATTCCCAGTAACCGTTAGGCAAGGTGCTGCTCCAGTATGGGCACCGCTTCACTGGGAAATGAGAAAGGAAGTTAGGAAATCAATACAACAATAATGGACTTAACGCTCCCTTTACGCAAGCGATGTTAGATAACTTGTTTATGGGACAAGTGTTGACACCTGGGCATTGCAGACAAATGTGTGAGATGATTCTTACCCCCACTCAAAAACTGTTATGGCAAGATAGATGGTATAAACATTGTGAAGAGGAAGCATTAAATAATTTACAAAGACAAGTGGGTGATCCATTGTATAATATCAGTTTTGATGACCTCACGGGCCAAGGGCAACTCTTACCCGTGCCTCATCAAGCCCAACTGCCTGTCGAAGCGTTACAGCTTACGGCCCGGCTGGCTTTGGCTGCGCTGAAAACTATTCCGCAAGAGGGAGCCCCTAAACCGTCTTTCACACGAATTCAACAAGCGGCACATGACCCTTACACGCAATTTATCCATCGGCTGCGGGAAGCAGTCGATAAAGTAATGCTAAATGATGATGCGAAAAATGCCTTAGTAATAACTTTGGGGGTTGAAAACGCTAATTCAGCCTGTAAAAGGGTTTTGTTGTCGCTACCGAGAAGGGCCTCTCTTGTGGATATGATTGAAACGTGCAACCAAGTAGGATTAGCAGAACATACAGCAGAGGTACAAGCAAAGCTTTTGCAGCTGCTATAAAGTTATTAGTCCAGGGTGGGGTCCAACAACACTGTTATAATTGTGGACAACCAGGTCATTTGAAAGTGCAGTGCCAAAGCAAAAAAGGGGGAGTAGGACCAGTGTGTTGCTTTAAATGTGGCAAACCTGGCCATAAAGCAAGTGAATGTCATTCAAAATCGGGAAACGGCCAACGGAGCGCGACTCCTTACCGCGCCAAGACACAATGTCAGAGGTGTATTGAAGCAAAAGTAACTGAGTTTGCTCAAAATGCAGCCCATATACTAGTGAGTACCGGTCACGAACCTATAAACAGCCCCCGCCTTGAACCTGATAGTTATCATCAAGGCTGGTATATGGCAGAATATGCCCCTGATGGCATTGTGTGACAAGTTATTTGTCAAAGAGGACTATTTGTACCTTATATTTGGAGGGTAGCTGAAAGAGATAGGAAAAAGGTGAAACGACAGTGTCAATTGCAATTTGGGTGGAGGGAAAATCGGAAAAAATGAGATAGCTATTGAAGCTAACCGTAATTGGCTTAGTGTGTCTTTTTTTAAGTACTA